TTGGTTGAAAACGTCTTTTTATTTCACCTACTGTCAAGCCTTCCAAAAAAATCTATAATGACGAGGTCAGCACGGCCAGCAAATGGGGAGGATGATGGAGTTAAATATGCACCGAGACAGATGAAGCACTGCCATGCGCCTCTGTTGTAAGCCTATTATCCCTTCAGGTGACAAATATCCGAATCGCCAGTAGGCTGACCTCCAGGCGATGCAGCCTTGGTCAGAGCAACTGGAAAAGTTTGCCAAAGTAATTTCAAAGCTGACAGTTTTTAAATTATTCGCATGTGCAGAAAAGCGTTAAAACTTGATTCTAGATAAATATGTCGTAGCACTGAATCGAATTTCTGCCCTTGCTTAAGGCAAATAATTATTAATGAAAGTCCAAAAGTCAGAACCCCCTCTGTATTTGCCCTTTATGAAAGGCAGAGGCACTCGGGAAGCAGCATAATTCGTAGCAAATGGTAACAGCAACCATCCAATCTGGCAGGACTACGAATGGCTCTTTCTTTCAAGGACTGCTTATAAGCAAAACTGGCAGTTGATTTGATTCCTGATATGTCAGCCGCAATTTATCACTGAAATAAGCGAACGAATCGTAGAGGGACTGATTGTTAATTGGAGCGATTCCTTGATAATTGATTAAGTCGACTTCTAAGAAAGTTAATTGCTAAGGAGAAGTCTAGCTTTACTTGAAGATGGCACGCGCCGCATTATTCCTGAGCATAGCTGTGATAAGAGGTCACGGGACTATAATTAGAGCACCTGTCGTTGTTCATCTACTGTATTTGCGTCAGCATCGGATATCCAGGAACCACGCCATATGTGACCATAAAAAGTGATTTTTATTGATACAGTAATGAATAAAATTATAATTAGGAAAAGATAAGACAGAATCAACGAAATAAGCTGGTTGTCCTGGAAAACTGATACAAACACCTTGAAAAAAACTGAAATGAAATTATTGTAGAGCGCTCTGTTGTTACTCCGAACGGGCTGCATGTCCTAAGTATGTACTTGCCATTCTATCAATGTGCGAGCACTTGTTCTGCTTGCACTTAATTTTTATGAGATTCTGCACGCTTGTGCAAGTGCAAAAGCCATACTGACAAAAGGTTGTCGGTGTGTGTATGTGTGTATGTTTGCACTTTTGTCACTCGTTTTCAACTCAGCAACCGATGAGGATAGGAGGCTGAAATTTCTGGAGCATATTCATGTCCCATTTGTGATGCTCCGTTTTTAAAATCATCACTCACGTACAGAGCCTAAAAAACTCATGTTTTTTTGGCGGGAAAAGGATTTCGGGAACCAGACAAGATTGAAAGCTGAAAGTTTGCAGGGGTGTCCTGTGCCTTAATTTGAACTTACGGTTTTAAATTTGGCTTGACTGTATTTTTGAAATCCTTGCCCCTCGTCTTCAGTATAATTTTTGCTCCATTCTGAACTAGATTTAAAAAAACTCATTGTAAGCATTCTGTTTAGTTCCAGTCTTTCCAGCCTTTGATTTACTCAATTTAAAAAAAGGTACAAGTTAAAATCTTTCTCCGCATTCACTTTCTACGCTCTCCTGAGCTACATAAAAGTAACCCGAATATAAATACGAATAGTGGTCATGAGTTGGCAAGGCTGTCAATGGCGGTTTTTTTTGAGAACTGCTTAAAAGCAAGTTGGTCATATAAGCCTAAATTCCTAGCATGCACTAGTATCAATTTAGCATCGAAATAAATGAACAAATTGCTGTTGATTCGAATCCTCAACAGTCTGTATAGAAACAGTGTCTTAAATTAAAGGACCACAAACCGCTTTGGTTGATGGCAGAGAAGTGATATTTCATCCAAAGTCTGCGCACGCAGCACAAATGGGACTGATATTTTTTCTCTGTTTTGTTTTGAGGCAGTTTTGCTTAAGTGGGCAGCTTTTTGTGCGTTTTTGCATATATGTAAATTGCAAAAACGCATATTGGGAAGAGGCTGTCTGTGTATGTGTGTGTCTGTGTGTTCGCACTTTTTGTCACCCACATTCAACTCGAGACCCAGAAAAGCTAGAAGGCTGAAACTTTGGGGAGATGTGCCTATACCATGCGTAACCCTCCCGTTTTAATTTCATCCCCTTTGGAAGCCTGGGTGTCGCGTGCGGAAGTTTAAAAAAAATATGCGAATTTTTTGGCGAGAAAGCGATCTCGGGAACCACACGAGCTGAGGAGCTGAAACTTTGTAGGGATATTCCCTGTGCAAGTACTAGCTAAAGATTTAAAATTCAGCCCCCAGTTGTACGTAGCACTGACGTAAGGGCGCATGAAAGTTTTAGAGGGAAAATTGCCAACTCGGGTACCAGGAAAGCTAGAAAGCTGAAATTTTGGAGGAGTGTTCCCTATCGAAGTACAACTCAAATATTTCAAATTCAGGCCCAAGCTATGCATGGTAATCAAGTAAGAACATATGAAATTTTTTGCAGGAAAATTACTAACTCGACAACCAGAAAAGCTGGAAGGCTGAAATTTTGAGGGCATGTTCCCTATCCAAGTACACTTTAAGTATTTCAAATTTGGCGTTGAGGTATGCATGGTTCTTACCTACCAGCTCTTGAAAGTCGACGCAAAAATTTCTCACTGAACAACTAGATTACTTTTAAAGAACGACTGTTGAATGGAAATTATACATTTTCTTTGCAAAATTTATGGTGGTTTATGCTGGTGATCGCAAAAGGTAAGTGTAAAGCAACAGCCATTCATACAGTTAATGGCATAAGCAATTCAAACCCGGCGCAAAAACGCATGATCGCACGGGCCCGCCCTGTGCATTCCAGCCTGGGTTAAAATTTTAAGTACGTAGCTCCATGAAAAAATTTATTCGAAGATTTTACTTGCCTCACTTTTTGCCTTATTACCTCAAAATTTGATGCACTGTTTTTATAATCTGTTAGAACAAAGGGTCCCAAGTTTTTTTGAAAAATAGGACTCCTTTTTTAAAATTTTTCAGGGTACACGTTGTAGCAAATAAAGCAGCTTTAGGCAAAAATGATGCTATCGCCGCCAAAAAACAGTGGATCATGGCCTGGGATTCGCAGAACGGAATTACAGCTGATACTGGTAATGAACGGATAATCCTTGAATTCTAGATATTGTGAAAATGCGCCATTTGGTGATGTTTCCTCCCGGATTAGAGCTACTACTCCGGAATTAAGTGAGGATTTTTGGAGGTTACTTCAGGATAAGGTTCAGTTAAGCCAGGCAGGCAGGGGAAGAAGTACTCGAGGCTAGCAATCGGATTTTGCCTGGCAAGCATGGAAGCTTAAGTAATTGATGAACACATCCTGGTCTGGTTCCATATATTCTATAAATTAGGTTGATAGTAGCAGGAGTAGGAGTGAGGGTGGTAGGGAAATGAGGTTTAGCGAGGTTCATGGATAAGAGGGTTGGACGAATAGAATATGCATAGGATCGGGGGTTGCAGAACGGCGGAACAGGGCAGAGAGGTAATTTGCAACAATGACTGACTTCCCAATTTGACAATAACGTAGCACCAAGTCCTCCTCTTGTTTCATTCATTAACAACAAAGCTTTGTGGGCAGTGGGTAGTGGACAGGAAGTCCAGCTTATCGCTACTGCTAGCACTACTACTGCTAC